AGTAGTGATGGCAGTGGCCGGGTGGGGTGGGAGAGTGATGAGAAAATACCGTACATTTTAGGGGTCCAGTATTTTCTGATTTTTTTTTTAAACCGGACAGGAGGCAAAAATACCGGACTGTCTGGGTCAATACTGGACACCTGGCAACCCTACTCCTAACACCCCCCCCACTCCGCCTCTTCCTACCCCAGCACTCTAACCTCTCACAAGTGCCTCCCCATGATCAGCCAAACAGCTGACCAGCAACTGTGGCTGGTGAAGGGGTCCAGTATTTTCTGATTTTTTTTTTAAACCGGACAGGAGGCAAAAATACCGGACTGTCTGGGTCAATACTGGACACCTGGCAACCCTACTCCTAACACCCCCCCCACTCCGCCTCTTCCTACCCCAGCACTCTAACCTCTCACAAGTGCCTCCCCATGATCAGCCAAACAGCTGACCAGCAACTGTGGCTGGTGAGTGCTGTGCACCCCCATTGTTTTTCTTGTGGGGGTGTGAGCCCAAAATCACCACAGAGTTGGTGCCAGTGTTCCCTTTAGGCTGTGCAGGTGCTCAGAAGAGATTTGAATGCTGCCCAGCTGAGCTGCAGAGCACCCCAGCAAGATTTTTGTTTTTACTGGTGGTGTATGTTCACACATGCCTCTGTGCACATAAAAAAATATACCACATGGATGGAAAAAGATTAGAGGGAACATTGGTTGGTGTCTCTGCTATTGGTGTCTAACTTCTTTTCAATTAGACCAAGATCCTGAATCATCTTTTATCCAGGCACCCTCACACCCTCCTCTTCCAGAAAAAAAAGGGAAAAGCTGTTTAAAATTATCCTGACAAAAATACCCTTATGCAATCTGAAGCAAAATACCTCCCCCAAGCCACTTTTTACTTTCAATGCTGAAAGTGCTGCTAAGCAACTAATGAACACTACTTTTTTTAAATGTTTGTTGGCTAACATGCTCTGTATAATAATGAAACCTGTTTGCCAAAGATGTGTCAACATGAGAGAGATAAAGGGACAAATGCTAGGAGTTAGGAAAGGCTACATTCTAACCCTGACAGTCCTCATAGAACAGTGCTCTTCGAACATTAAGCATGTGAATTGTCACTAATTGGGACATCAGACAGATGTGTTTGCTTATACAAGCAACTGTGGATTTCCTAGCAGCATTATATAAACAGCTGCTGAGGTAGAATCACAGGATCATGGAATCCTGGGGCTGAAAGAGACCTCAGGAGTCACTGAGTCCAGTCCCCTTCCCAATGCAGGACCAACCCCAACTCAGTCATCCCAAGGCATCTTGTAATAGCCATATAACATCTCCACTATGTTGTGCTGGTTTAGGAACTTCGTGGAAAATCAGCTACACAGAAGGGTCAGTAGTACAACAGCTATTGTTACGTCTGCCATTGGCCATTGCCAAGTAGAAATTTGGAAACTCCTGGCTACTAGACAAGCAGGGAAGATGCCGAATTATGCACTCTCGAGGTGCTCAATTTCAACCATGTTACAAACACAGACAGCCAACATGCCTAAGGCTACATCTACACAGAGGAGTTATTTTGGGATGCCTTTGGTATTCCATGTCTTTAAACGTACCCATTAGTTCAAAATATATTTTGAACTAGCAGGCACACTATTCTGGCATCCCTGCATCCACGTTGCACCCTCAGAGGCACAGCTAGATGGAGGCACAGAAAACTGTTCTTAAAGGAACTCAGGAGGAAGGGCTGGGGGAAAAGAATGTTCTGACACCATTTCAAGAGCTATACCGTTTAACAATGAAAACGAGTAGTCCTGTGCCACCTTCGAGTCTAACAAAAATATAGATCTAGCATCATGAGCTTTCTTGTGCACAGACCACTTCCTCAGATGAGCCTAAGTCATTCAGTGATGGGCGGGGAGAATGAGACATACACCTATTCCCTACTCTTAACCGGAAGTGAGGGAGAAGCCCTTGCACAGCTAAGCAACAAACAGAGGCGCATGTTAAGTATCAACTTTGGAACTTGCAGAAGTCAATCATGTGGCTAGACGCACAGAGTCATCCCAGCGATAACCCATGCAAGGTGAGCCTAACAATATTGTTAGGCTGATTAGTTCTCATGTTGCTTAGACAACATAGAGGCCACTGAGGCTTCATCTACACTGCAGGGGTTTTTTGCAAGCAGCTTTTTGCAGAAGAGATCTTCCGCAAAAACTTCTTGCGCAAAAGTGTGTCCACATCTCAAAAGCGCAGCGCAAAAGCAATGCACTTTTGTGCAAGAGAGCTTCCACACTGCATGGACACTTGTGCAAGAAAGTTCTGATTGCCAGTCAGACGTGCTTTTTCTGATGGGCTCTTTTTGCGCAAGAAATCCCTGTTGAGTGTCCACACACATCTTTTTGCGCAAGAACTGTTGTGCAAAAAAGGAGTTATTCCTCCTAGAAAGGGGTATACCTACAACGCAAAAAGCCCTCTGTTATGCTGTTTTACTGTAAATTTTCTTGCACAAAAATGCACTTAAGGTGTGGACGCTCCACAGCTTTTTGTGCAAAAACCCTGTAGTGTAGACATAGCCAGAAGGTATTTGTTAAGCCCTTTCACAATGTGCTGTTCTGAGCCAAACGTCCTGTGTCACAGGGTAGGATGCCTGTGAGTGACAGGTGTCTGTTCACATAATCCAACCATCATGTTTTAGGTCTCCCAGTGGGTATTTTCACTGTGCTTTCATGGGGTCAAAGTTAAAGAAGATTCTTGCAGGATTTGGTAGTAGGGATGTTAGCAAACATGTTTTCTTATAAACATGTAGGGCAAACAGGAGCCAGGACTCTCAGGGAGCTGGCTTTTAAGCTGGCTCCCCACAAGCACCAGCCCCCACCCACCCTTGCTGCCTCTGATGGAGGCGGGTGGTCATTAGGATTAACCAATGAGCCCAAGCTTATCAGTTAATCATGTAAGCATCTACACACTAACATCCCTACTTGGTAGGTATACAGAGTAGATAACCATACTATTTTAGAGAACGCTGGGAGACCATTTTAGAGAGCAGGATTTGGCAGTACAAGCAAAGTAAATATTCAAAAATCTTTTAAAGGACTGCATCCTTGTAAAAATGTCATTCTGCAGCCCAGGACAGGTGTTAATCTGCACCCGTAACTGCTGCTGGTAAGGGATAGTTAGAGAGGGGCTTTCCTTTGATTAGTTCAGCTTGATCTGAGGATGGCCATAGAATGTCTTTATAATGTTTAGTCCCATTTACAAAATGTTTAATCGGCTTTAATACTGCACTAAGCAAATGGATAAGGTAATCAATGTTCTAGGCTTCTTATTTCTAACATGCTTGGAAATCTGCTTTGCTCATTTTTGTCTGCCTGGTTTTCTAGCAATTCTCTTCCATCTTCAGTGCATACTGACGTGGTTTTACTTCTCAAGTTTACAAAGTAAGCATGAAGGTAAGCCCACTACTTTTCCTGGATGTTCCTATTTAATTTTTGAATCATCTAAAACTTCAGTAAAAACGAAGAAAAAAGACAACTTGACAGTAGGATAAAAATACTCAAAAGAAACAGCGTCAATAGCAGTACTATGGATATTCTGTACAAGTTCTCGTTAGCCATCGCTATGAAGGAGGGACCTTGATACAGGAGGGACACCTTGATACAATCACCATTCCCAGACCAAGCAATACTGGAGCAAAATAGTTCTCCCCTTTGAGCTGCTGTTCATGTTCTCTATAGCTACCTTTACAATTCTAGAGCACTTTTGAGTCACAAATTTCAATATGCTCAGAAATGAATGAATTTAGACTCTAGGCATCTGCTGTTAACCTCAATGACAGTGGGGGAGAGAGGTGTATCTAGCTTCCCCTCTGATCCCTGCTGCTTCTATTTATTTGAGACACACAATGAAGTCTGGGGCATAACAGGAACAGATTTGATCAAAAATGTCCTGTGTGCAGGACACTCCATTCTAATACAGCTGGTTTTTGAACCACAGTGACATCTGTAGTACAAAAGAACTAGATAAATACCCTGCATTAACAAGAGAAAACTGAGTTTAAACTGACACCAGGTTAGAGGAAATGAGAAGTGTTTTGATCACTGGAAGCAGCCTTGTTTATGTACACACACTGGAGAAGTCAGAGCACTTTTCATTTCTACAAGCTCTCGGGCTGCATCTCCACACTTTAAAAGGACTTGATTCCTCTCCAACAGCCTTCTCTCTGGTAGAGTTACTGCAGGGATACAGGTCCAAAATTGCAAATGCCAAGGTCTTTACCAAACTAAGAACCCCCCTATAATGCAAATAAAGTAGTCTGAGCCAATCTTCACACTCAGTTAAACTGGAGCAACCTGCCACACTGAGCTGAGCCAGGCTTCTCTACTACAACTGGTGGAAGAAGTTGGACAAGACAACTAAAGACATTTATTGGTACCAACTAGTACACAAAATGTCTACAACAGACATGCTATAACCATAGCAACTAGGTTGCTTGAGTTATGGAAATTAGTAAAATTCTTGAAGGAAATAACCTTCCCCCATGCACAGAAAACTTCTGCTGCCATTTCAGTCTTCAGTGGCCCTTTTCCTCACGTTCTAATAGCTTCCAAGACCAGAGAAGCCATTGCATCTATATTTTATTTGCAAGTTGCCCTAACACCAAACATCTGCATATTCCAGTCAAACAAATATCCATGTAATTTTAGAAGCTGCACAAGGTAGGCAGTTAATTCCTCTCCCTCCAAAAGCAACAAACAAGGTGATTCACACAAACCTGCATCTCTCACACCTATATATTTAAGGAAGGCAGCAGCTTAGACTTGCAATTTGCTAATTATGAAAAATTCACAGTACACTTGCTTGGATACATTAATAATGGGGGGAGGGGACCTAAATTAGAAAAACAGCAGAAATAATTAAAACACGAATCTGATGGTTCAATCTGTTTCTCAAACATAAACGTTTGAACTTACCCTGGAGTGATTTTCCCAATCCCTGGCCCAGCTTCCACCCATGTTTCTGGAGTAAGCGGTGTCCAATATTATCCTGACAGATAGAACAGAGAAAACAAACCAAAAATATTCCAATAATATATTCTTCCCTTCCCACAGACATTTAAAACACGAGACAAGCAAGAGATTTTCTACATATGTGCATGCAAAAAAAGGCTACTGGAAAGGCAATATATGCCCAATAAAAGGGAAGACAAATGTCAAAAATTTGCTGGCTAGAATTTTTCAAGGGGATCAGGATACAGGGGAGGGTCACTTTCTGATGGTGTGCTGGGCAACTTTTGTGCAGAACATTTAAAATAAAAAAGCAATATGGGAGAAAATAAAAAAAGTGTACCAATAAAAAAAAATTGACATTAAAAAGCATAAACTTGAGTTATTTATACAATCGTATCCATCACCTAGACAGCACCACTTTAAGATTGTTTTTGTAAAGAAAATCTGCATTGTGTTTAGTCATTTTGTTTTGTGCCAGGCTTTTATAATACTGAGTAAGTTGTAAGTGCAAGACTGCCCCACCACTAGAAACCAAAACACAATCATAGCAAAATCCAGGCTAGACTTGATTGGGTTTTTTATATATATGTATATATATAAACTAGCATGCAGCCAATATTAAACTGAAAGAAAAAAAAACCAGTGAGGTTAGTGAAACAAAAAAAAAAATCAAATAAAATGAGTTCAAGCACAGACTGGGTGATGCATTTCACATGTACTCTAACAAAATACTAAGATGTTAGAATGAAACAGGCCTAGCAGTAAGTTAACAGCAAGGAACCATTAGTGCATGTAGGGGAAACAATAAGCATAATGTCTCATCTTCCCAATGAAAAAGAGCTATTTTGTGATAAAGGACGTTGGAAAGCGTTGGTGCAGCAATAAATGTCAGCTTTTGGCTGGGACTAAAGAAAAAGGGTTCGTCACACTTTACAAAAAACAAAAACACAATGAAAAACGTAAGAATGGGCATGTTGCATCAAATCAATGGTCTAGCTGGCCCAACAATCTGCCTCTGCCATGGCCAGTACCACACAGTTCAGGGAAACAAACAGAATGATCCATTCCATGTCAGCCAGAGCAGCTTCTGGAGGTCAGACATTTTAAAAAACTCAAGAGAAGGAAGGAGTCTGGTTCAGTACCTATTTTGGCTAAGAGCCTACATGAACGTATCTAATTATTTTTCAAACCTAGGTATGCCTTCGTCCTTCACAACATCCCCTGGAAGAAGTCCCACAGATTGACTATGTTGTGTGAAGAACTATTTCCTTGCGTTTGTTTTAAATCTGCTATTAATTTCATTGGGTGACCCCTGGTTCGTGTGTGATTTGAAGGGGGGTAAATATTACTTTCTCCTCACAATTCATGATTATGTAAACCTATATAATATCCCTCTTAGAAAATAGACTAACTGAACAGTCCTAGGCTTTTTAACCCTCCTTATATGGAAATTGTGCCAGACCTCTAATCATTCTGTTGCATTTCCCTGAACTTTTTCCAACTTTATATACTCCTCGAGCTGAGACAACCAAAACTGCATGCATTATTCAAGGTATAGGTACACGAAGGGCTTACATAGTGGCATTATGATTTTTTTCATCTAGCTATCCCTTTTTGCCTCATGTTTTGTCCAACATGTTAGCATTTTTATTGCCACAGCATATGGGGGAGGGGGGGGGGGGGGAGATAGCTCAGTGGTTTGAGCACTGACCTACTGAACCCAGGGTTGTGAGCTCAATCCTTGAAGGGGCCATTTAGGGATCTGTAGCAAATCTGTCAGGGATGGTACTTGGCCCTACCCTGAGGGCAGGGGACTGGACTCGATGACCTCTCAAGGTTCCTTCCAGTTCTATGATTGATACACACACACCTCGACAAATATGCTTATCTACTTGCCCGTGGCGAGTAGATTTCAGCCGGTCGCCCGGTTCACCAGTGGTCCATGCATGCACAATGCAGGTCTCTCGCATGCATGGTGCGAGCCTGGCAAGTGGTTTTCACCGCAATTGTCAAGCCCTGTGTGTACGTACATTTGTACGTACGTACGTGTGTAGCAGCAGATGATTTTAGAGAATTCTCCACAATGACTCCAAAATCTCCTTCTAGAACAATCACAGCTGATTAAGATCACATCATTTTTGGATGCGAAGATCAGTGTTGATCAATGTGCATCTACCCTTTTCTAGCCCAATTGCCCAGTGTAGTGAGAGCTCTTCGTAAATTGTTGCAATCAGCTTCGGACTTAATTATCTTGAGTAACTTTTTGTTTTGCCACCTCACTGTTTACCTCCTTTTCCAGATTATCTACGAATGAACTGAATAGCACTGGTCCTAGAACAAATCCTCGGGGGGGCGGGGGGGACCCTATTTGACCTCATTTCTACCCTACGTTTCTGATTTTTTTAATCACTTTCCATGAGATGACTTTCCCTCTTACCCCATGACTGTTTACTTTGCTTAAGAGGCTTTGGTGAGGTGTGTTATCTATGGCTTTCTGAAAGTCCAACTACACTATATCTACTGGCTTATCCTTGTCTATATGCTTGTCAACACTCTCAAAGAATTCTAATAGAGTGGCGAGGAATGATTTCCCTTTATAAAAGCCATGTTGACTATTCCTCAATGTTCATCTGATATCCTGAGTTGCAATGAGTTGTCTGGTTGGAACACTGAATGATAAATTGTATCCAAAAGTCAGCTAATAAAAATGCTATAATTTTCATTTAGCTCAGCAATAAAGTACAGGCGGCCCCCGACTTGCGACGCAATTGATTCCCAAGGAAGAGTTGCAAGTTGGGGTCAGCGTAACTACAACCCTAATTTACGATGGGCGCTGTGTGCTATCATAAATGAAGGCAGAGGACGTAAGATGGGGGGAGGGGTTCAGCCCCTTCAGCCCATACAAAAATGGTTGTAAGTGTAGAGGGTCGTAACTTGGGCAGTCGACAGTTTCCTGTACTATATCCGGTCAGAACAGCAGTATTTTCCACTTATTCCTCATTGATCTAACTGAGAGTGCATCTACATAGCACTTTAAACTCAAAATAAAATTTGCACAAAGCAAATTGCTCATCTTATTTTGGATCTATTTCAAATAGCTTATTTTGAAATTTGGCGCATCTACACAGCGCCAAATTTTGAAATAACATGCTATTTCGAGCCATCCTTTTATCCATCATGCAACAAGGTTTACCAAGATGGCGAATTAGCACGCCCATTACTTTGAAAAATATTTTGAAACAACAAGTGGGTTGTATAGACTTGGAGTTACTACCTCGGGATAAATAGCCATGCAGTGTGGACATACCCTGACTGAATAATGTGCATGCCAATAGTGCATCAGACCCTAAAGAGTTTGAGATTTACAGAGTGTATATATGCATTCACCTTCCTCTGCAAACAACTCTAGTGATTAGAACCCTTTTTCTTCTTTGGTGCTGTGTAAAACAAGACAAGAGAGTGTAAAGCAATGCCCTCCCATGCTATTGGGGTCTCTGTGAAAGAGTAGTTCGTACTACATTGTAAACCAAGGTAGAGGAGTAAGGATATGCCAGGGTAGAAATATTTCAATCAATAGGAGTGAAAGAGAAAAATGAACAATATGGCTTCCAGCTACGAATACCACCGAAGAGTGTTTCAGACTAAGGTTGACAAGAACTTACCTGTGATTGTAACTGCTGCAGACCATTTATGCTTGTGTCACAACTGCATGTTGCTCTTGTAAAATGGGACAACAGACCAATTATTTTGTTGCTATTACACTATGATTGTTCCTTCTACGTTAACATATTAACTGTGTCTGACAAGGATTATGGGAATCAAATTTAAAAAGCTGATGCTGACAAAAATGGCTGCATTTTTTTAAAAAAGGGCAGGAACTACCATACAATCTTTTGTTAAATGGAGATGAGACATTGTGCTGACTGTGTTGTGTTATGAATGCACTAAAATAAACAGACAGATGAAGCAGTATGCTATTTCCAAAAGCAGTGCAAGTGGAGTGAAAGCATTTCCATACGAACCTGGCTTTAAAAACTGGGCTGTCAAAAGAACAGTTAAATGTAACACAAAGTAAGAAACTGTCCAATCACTAATGGTAGTTTTTTCTTTTGCTTTGTTTTCAATTCACTGCTTGCAAGTAATGTATTTATTAAAGAAGAGTGAAAGCATAAAATAAATGTAACGAGTCAAGACCAGCTGGGAGATTCAAGAGTGGTGTATTGTGACTGACACAGTGAAGGGGGAAACAAAATGTTAAAGGGTAAAAAGGAAAAATTCAGAAGAGTTATACACATTCGCACCACTTTTACAAAGCCACTCGAGAGGATGGTCATGTTTTTCAAATTGAAACAAACTTTTACTGCAGATCTCAGTTCCCATGAAAAAAGCAGTATCTTCCCCAATAGTGTTGAACGTATTCTTTTGATGTAAAGTTAGTTACACACCCAATGTCTGGCACTGACCAGGCAGTGAAACTGCTGGTTAGTTAAAAACAGCCAGCTGAAATGGTGTGATACTGTTCCTAAGGGTCAGGTATTAAATTCAAATGGAGCCTACACACTAAAGAGATTAATGATGATCCCCTTCCACTTTCCATCTATCCCTTCATTCCACATCGCTGTGACAGACTGCTGGCTAAGTAAGACTGGCACGAACTCTCTTCAGTTTAAATGCTGCCCTTTCCCAGAGAAGTTGTATTGCTTGGGTCATAAATGGGAAGTGAGGAAGTGTAGTTATTGGCATCTGGAGAGAGGCAACACTAACCAAATCAGAATCTCTCATTCAGAAGGACAAAGCACTGAAACTAGGCTGCGGGCTTGTCATCTTTTTTGTTACTAGGTTAATGTTATTCATGTCTAGGGGGAAATCCCTTTTATTAACAGAGGTCTACTTCTTGGTATCAAGAACTCCAAGTCCTTTTCAATACATCAATCCCATTTTGTAGTAGTTCTCCTCCTAAACAGGTGGGCTGGTTCCCAAATGTGCCACTGGCCAGTCTAAAGAAACAACTTTTTCCTCAGAGTATAGGCCGATATT